GGGAGATGGAGATGGGTGGAGGTGTGGGGTTGGTTGGAGGTGTGGGGAGTGATGGAGGGATGGGGATGGATGGGGATGGATGGGGATGGATGGGGATGGATGGGGATGGGTGGAGGGATGAAGACGGATGGAGGGACAGGGTGATGGAGATGGATGGAGATGTGGAGGTGGATGGAGAGATGGAGGGATGGGGAGATGGAAATGGTTGGAGGTGTGGGCTTGGATGGAGGCATGGAGAGATGGAGGGATGGAGATGGATGGAGGTCTGGGGAGATGGAGATGGGTGGAGGGATGGAAATGGAGGGATGGGGAGAAGGGGGCAGATGGAGGGATGGGGATGGATGGAGCTATGGGGAAAGGGGGATGGATGGAGGTGTGGGGATGGATGGAGGTGTGGAGATGGATGGGGAGATGGAGATGGGTGGTGGTGTGGGGTTGGTTGGAGGTTTGGGGAGTGATGGAGGGATGGGGGCAGATGGGGATGGGTGGAGGGATGAAGATGGATGGAGGGACAGGGAGATGAATGGAGAGATGGAGATGGGGGGATGAGGAGATGGAGGTGGATGGAGGTGTGGGGTTGGATGGAGGCACAGGGAATGATGGAGGGATGGAGGGATGGGGATGGATGGGGACAGATGAGGAGCAGATGAAGTGCTGGAGATGGATGGAGATGGATGAGGATGGATGGAGAGATGGAGATGAAGGGATGGAGATGGAGGGATGGGGTGAAGGGGACAGATGGAAAGATGGAGATGGATGGGGTTGGATGGAGGCACAGGGAATGATGGAGGGATGGAGGGATGGGGATGGATGGGAACAGATGAGGAGCAGATGAAGAGCTGGAGATGGATGGAGATGGATGAGGATGGATGGTGATGGATGGAGGGATGGAGGTGGACGGAGGGCTGGGGTTGGGTGGAAGGAGGAGGAGAGATGGAGGGATGGAATCAGTTGGGGACCAGATGGAGAGATGGGGATGGAAGGGGATGGATGGAAGGGTGGGGAGATGGACATGGATGGAGGTGTGGGGAGTGATGGAGGGATGGATGGGGATGGACGGGGACAAACGGTGTTGGATGGGGATGGACGGAAGGATGGGGAGATGGACATGGATGGAGGTGTGGGGAGTGATGGAGGGATGGATGGGGATGGATGGAGAGGTGGAGATGAGATGGATGGAGGGATGGGGATGGGTGGACAGATGGGATGGATGGGGAGGGATGGGGATGGATGGAGGGGTGGGGAGCTGGACATGGATGGAGGTGCGGGGAGTGAC